TTGTAGCAGGGCAACATTATGGTTGCAGGTCACAGGAGGGCACGCTGGCAATAGTGGGCAGGTAGGCAAGTGGGCGGCCGAGAGTTTCTGACAACGTAATGCTCGGCAATGTTACAAAAGTCTGGCACACCAGCCTAAAATATGATATCAGAACTAGGACTTCCACAGTTTGGTTGGCTGGGCTGCCTATCAAGCCCTACCCTATCCCTTCTGGCTCCCTCCCATTCACACACACCTGTTCCCTCCCCATTCTCCCCCCCCCCCCCATCTCCTCACAGTCACTTTTAGGATAACGTGAATATGATATAGACCTCTCTTCCTGCCAGCCCAGAGCCTGTTCACAGGTGGAATAACAAGAATTTCATGTTTGATTGTGAATGCCAGACTGACTGTGAATGTCTGACTGAGACCGTCTAGCTGAGAGTGCCTACCTAATTGCTACACAATAACAAAGGCATAGGAATTTGTCAAGGAACAAGCACAAGAATCCTGTGGACACACCAATGGCAGTGATGACAGGCATCAACAAATAAAACAAAGAAACCTGCTTGCCATTGACAAACATTGCAAAAACGTTTACAGGTGAATTTACCTCTCTCTATTAGAACTTTGGGAGTCAACAAATCAAGCATTTATAACTAGATTGTTATCGGTAACCTAAATTTCTATTCGTGATAAACGCTCAAGCACTTGAAATCTAATTTATTCAAGTTTCCTGTTCCATATAACCTTTTAACATGAATATTAAGGTTAAAACTTAAATTTAAATACCTTTCAGATTATTCGGAGATTCGGGCAACTGGAATCCAAATTACAGAGCTCTTACAGCACGTACTTGGTGTGAATGTCTGTACGTGCATCTAAAGTATTTGTATGTGGTAGATTTACATGTTCATGCATATTTTTTAAGAGCTTTATATATATCTCTGAAAAAAATTCAGTCAGCTTGAGAGAAGCACGTAAGTAATGTTGTTAATAAGAACCTTCATTATATTATTACAATACAACAATTTAAAACCTGAAATATGTTATATAATATAAAATCTATAATCATACTGTATTATATATGCAGACATTACTGTCAAGATGCTATCAATAATCCAAGTAAGTCAAACCTTTTTAGGGGCGGGAGAAGCTGAAAGGCGAGATGCTCTTCTGTCAGGAGTTCGTCTATCTGGGGTTCTTCTGTCAGGTGTTGGGCATTCATCAGTTATATCAGGAGTGTTTGCTCTTGAACGTCTGGCAGCACGGTGACGAGTACTTATTTCTTTGGATCGTGTGCGGGTTCTCATTCGTAAATCCTCTTCGGTGGGAGCTGGTGGAGGTCGGCCAGACCCAGGTGGGGGCTCACGAGGATTAGTGATTACTGGTAAGTCTCCATACCTCTTAAAATGAATACGACATTCGTAGCAAAGCAACTGTTTATCCTTTCCTGCATGATGCCAGTCACGGGATGCTGAAAAAGGGTAAAGTTATTGGCACTTATTTTGGTATGTTTCTGCATGTAAATCCATTGAAATCTGATCAATATAATCTCTCATTTTATTTATGCAATAGAATGAAGAAATTAATGCTAGCAAGGTGGATAAAAACACACATAAGCAGCAAACACATTTATGAGCGACTATTTTTTTTATATATATACTGTATGTGTATGCATGCATGATTATTTTATATTATATATATATATACTATATTATATATTATATATATATATATATATATATATATATATATATATATATATATATATATAATATATATATACATACATACATACATACACACACACACAGTATATATATACTGTACATGAGTTCTTACAGTCTTGTACAGCCACTAGCATGCATAGCATTTCGGACAAATCCTTAATCCTATGTTCCCGGAATATGACACCGCCAAATCATTTAACAACCAGGTACCCATTTTACTGTTGGATTGAACAGAGGCTAGAGTTAAGGATTGATGCCCAGTAAATCCTCCCCGGCCAGGATATGAACCCGGACAAAGCGCTCGCTCAACTACAAACTGTAGTGGAGCGCTTTGCGAGCGCTCCACTACAGTTTGCGCTCGCAAAGCGCAAACTGTAGTGGTGTAGTGGTTAAAACAGTTGCCAGGCGACTGTTTTAAGGGGGCATATCAATGTAAAATTAAAAGTGGTTCAATTTGCTTATAAATTTTTTTATGACATGGTTATAGAAAGGGCTGCAGCTGGTTCAAGTTTCATCATCACACCCTAAACAGAAAAGGAGAAAAAAAATAAACAACGAATTATGCAACGAATTTTCAAATAGTTTCAGGGAACACATGTGTTAACTAAAATCATTTCTATAACACTCAGATATTAAATTAAGCACATAATAAAGGATTCTAGTGATCAGTTTTATCAAAAAAGTGTTTAGTGCAATAATATAATTTTTTAAAGTTACCCTTCTAAAAAAATATGCAATATATGATATTTATAAATTTTTATAAAATCAACAAATAGACTTTGGACTAAAATGTCTACTAGATTCTGTAGAAGCACAAACGCTACATATAAGGTGTAATTTGCATGTAAATTGATTAATAAATGAAAGCTCTGAAGTAATTTGAAGGTGTAAATTACTTTCCAGAGTAAAATAAAGATCCAAGTTCGGCCACCTGTAGCTGAGCTTGACTTCGACAGATTTCGTTCATAATTGGCACCCTTGCAGATAGGCTTCCATTGAGCAAGGTGTGCAAGTTTCATGCAAATCCCTTGATAACAAACGAGAAAAAAAATATTGGCCAAAAAAAAAAAAAAGAAAAAAAAAAAAAAAAAAGAAAAAAAAAAATTTAAATATAAATATATTGCACATACATATTACAATTATTACAAGAGTTTGTGCTTCTACAGCACATAGTAGACATTTTAGTTGACACATGTGTTCCCCGAGATTATTTGAGAATGTTGAACATTCGTTGCATAATACGTTGTGTATTTTTTTTCTCCTTTTCTGTTTAGGGTGTGATGGTGAAACTTGGACCAGTTGCAGCCCTTTCTATAACCATTTCATAAAAAAATTTATAAGCAAATTGAACAACTTTTAATTTATAACGATTTAGAATGATATGCCCCTTTAACCACTACACCATGGAGACTGCTTATATTACCAACAAAATATTAAATAAAATTATTTCCATAAATAGGGCTTAAAAACCTACAAGTAGTATAGCAGTGTCGGCAATGATAGCCCTGACGATCTTTGGAATCTGAGTCATCTGAATCATCATCTTTTTCTGAGGCAGAGGATGGATCAAGTGGATCACTAGGACCTGTGTTTCGTTGAGCACGTGGGGTTCGAATTCTTCTCAATACATTCTGACGGCGGTGTCGGCGGTGTGGCCTGTGGCCAGCTGCTGCCGGTGTCTTCTTCCAGAGGTAATAGAATGACACCAAGTCACTCTGAAATTAGAACTGTTTAGTAGCATACAATCCAGCAGACTATGTATACAGAAAATTTATTACATGTTTAAGGCAGAAGACAATTAGAGGATAATAAGGGAAATCAACTTCTGGCAACACTTTTACTAGCCCTCAACTGTGGGCCCATCTTAAAGTATTCAAATTTCAATGAGAATATTGCCAACTTTCTTTTTCTCTATTAATTTGGTCCCTTGCTATTAAATTTCTTTTTATAGTAGCTGTGGCATCTCTTCGGCTTTAACAACTGTTATTTCAAACTTCCCGTTCCCTCCTGACACTAATGCTGCGACCAGTTACCTTGGGTACTACTACTCCCCTCCACTACTTTACCATGCCGAGTAACATCACTGGTTGAGGGATGTGTAGAAGGGGGCCAATAGACCCCACAGGGTTAATACACACTTCACCTTAATTTTTAAAATTATTTCTAAATCTACCACACATGTTTCCCTTATGTTCATTATTATGAACGTATGGCATACGTAACAATGTACTGTATTCACCTTTCTATGTTAATGCTAACTACCTCAACGATTAGTTCACCATATGTTTACACTTCTCTGAATGCTGCAATGCACTATTTACTGGACCATGATGAGCTCTAAGTATCACAACCACAAGTTCTACTGAACTTATACGCAGTTTGGAAGGCATCTAGCTGGTACTGAAATCCAATTTTTACACGATACCGGCTTACACGCAGATGAACACAGTGAGTGACTGGCTTTATAACTAATCATTTCCAGCCTTTCCTTTCATCTCTAAACAATCTGGGTCATTTCTATCAATTTCAAAGTTGAATGGGAAAACTAAAAAATTCACATCTTCCTTTCCTAGATGTAGATGTTCACAGCTCTGTGTCTGGCTTCTCTTTCTCAGTCTACTGCACGCCTATACACTGTGGTATGTTCATTCGTTTATTTTCCTGCTATCCTTCTGTTAAGAAGTGTTCTAATCTTCCTCTTCCTCCAAGCCCTACGCATCAGTGACCCTCAATTTCTTGATTCTGAAATTTCTTTTCTTTGCAAGTCTTTCTCTTGTCTTGGTTATCCCATAAATTTTATCAACTGTGCTTTTTTTCAAACCAAAAGAATTTTCTTTCATCCTAAATTTGCTTCTAACACTAAAAACACTGTTGTGCCTTCCCCCTCATACCTAAACTAAAAATCTCACTAATACCTTCATCCTCTTAATAAAAAATCGTCTTTCAACAAACAAATAAACTTCATAATAATCTGGTTCACACTGTTCCTCCTGCTTCCAATGTTGCTGGTGTTCATTTTATTTTCCTATTCCTCTTGTCCTCTCCAATACTCTGGTGAAACTGGTCATACACTTAATGACAGACTAAACGAACACAAAAGAAGTGTCAAGTCTGTACTGTAAATGCAAACAATACTCTCTTTTGTCATGTTAGGGACTCCTAATAATCCGATACTTTGACACCTTGGCTTACGAATGCCCCTCTTTACAAACTTTTCGGGTTACGAGCCCAATTTCTTCGTAAAATCCAAATTGGGTTACGAACTTTGCCTCGGGTAACGAAGTTTGTTGATATGCGTATGGCCGACCTAGTGCATGGTGGCACGGCAACCGTGCCTCAGTTTACCAGTGCCTCCCGCCTAATGAGAATCGCGCTTAAATGCTTTGTAAAGAATTTCAGTATTTTTCAGATTTTTGGGTTTTTGAACATAAAAGCTATTGTTATGTATCTCGTCATGGGTCCCAAGAAAGCCAGTGATAAGGTTCAATCCAAGAACACACATGTGAGGATGACCATAGAGGAAAAACAAGAGATCATTAGTAAACATGAAAATAGTACACGGGTTGTTGAACTAGCTAGGCAGTACAACAAATCTGTCAACAATATGCACTGTAATTGCTAAGAAAAAGGACATCACGAGTGCTAAAGTAGCAAAAGGCGTATCAACAATCACGAAACAAAGAATACAAACACAGGAAATGTCTTCAAGGGAGGAGGAGGCAGTACAGATTGTCCCTTCCTCCACAATTAAGAAGTGGTGTGGACTATGGGAAGAAATGAAAACTTTTGTTGAAATGATTCACCCAGAGCAAGCTGTAGTAGGCCGTTGTCTTAACCATTTTAATGACACTGTGATACCTCACTACAGACAAGTACTCACCTAGCTGTGCTTGCAGGGGTTCAGCTCTGGCTCTTTGGTCCCACCTCTCAACTGTTGATCAACCTATGTACAGATTCCTGAGCCTACTGGTTACAGTCATATCTAAATTTGAAACTGTGTATGGAGTCAGCCTTCACCACATCACTTCCTAGTGCATTCCACCTGTTAACTACTCTGACACTGAAAAAGTTCTTTCTAACGTCTCAGTGGCTCATTTGGGTACTCAGTTTCCACCTGTGTCTCCTTGTTCGTGTACCACCCGTGTTAAACTGTTTATCCTTTTCAACCCATCCAAATTGGTTGAATTTGGTTTAAATTCAAATTGGTTTATCCAAACAAGTGTTACAATGTAGGGAAAACAAGCCTCTATGGATAGATTTTTAGTAAGAAAAACAAGCAGTGACCCACAAGCAGGTCCTAGTGGTATGCAGGCAAAACATACCAAACAGAGTACCCCAGAGAAGTCATCACTGCCTGATGTTATAATGGAAGGGAACTCCCCTTCCAAACACTAACACTTCTCCTCCTCCTCCCCCCCCCCTCCTCACTGTCTTCTATACACCAACAAGAGTCATCAATAAAGGTAAGCAATAACTTGTACATACTTTAGTACTAAAGATTGTGGTGAATTAGGTATAATATTTACTTTGAAGTTAATATATTTGGGAGTGTGGAACAGATTAATTTAACTTACATTATATCTTATGGTGAAATTCGCTTCGGTTTACAAATTTTCGGATTACGAACTGTCTTTGGGAACAGATTAAATTTGTAAACGGAGGTACCACTGTACACTGGTCTTTTAAATTATTCTTTCTTGCCTTTACTCTTCACAGAGTTCATCTTGTCAAATCAGTTCTCATACACAACATGACCAACATGAACCTTAGTCTTGGCCTTACTGTTGTTAACTCTTGCCTTTCTCAGTGCTGTACAAAGTTAAATGCTCTAACCTTCTTAACAATTGTGATCTGACATTTGTTAAGCTTTCTTTAGCATCTTTTGGATATCTTTCTTTTCTCTTCTCTAATGTTTCTATCTATCTATATCTATCTATCTCTTATATATATTATATTATATATATTATATATATTATATATATATATATATATATATATATATATATATATATATATATATATATATATATATATATATATATATATATATATATATATATATATCTCTCTCTCTCTTTCTTTCTTTGCCAATAGGCATTTTGCAGTTTTCTTTATTCCTATCAATTCCTATTGTATACTTCAACTTTCTCACCTTTCACCTCATATTTGTACCTTATACATTGACTTTCTCTATTCTTTCTTTACATTACTTAATAATGGTTCAGGTCAGACTGAAACATCGTCATGGCCTTTATTTTCAGAGTTGTGGGTTGGCTGCCTAAATTTTAGCGATGTTATTGCGACATTATCTGCATTTTCATTGTGATCTGACATTTGTTAAGCTTTCTTTAGCATCTTTTGGATATCTTTCTTTTCTCTTCTCTAATGTTTCTATCTATCTATATCTATCTATCTCTTATATATATTATATTATATATATTATATATAATATATATATATATATATATATATATCTGAAAACTCACACCCCAGAAGTGACTCGAACCCATACTCCCAGAAGCAACGCATCTGGTATGTACAAGACGCCTTAATCCACTTGACCATCACGACCGGACATAATGAGGTGATAGCCGAGGCTATTTGAACCACCCCACCGCCGGCACTCGGATAGTTATCTTGGGCATAGCATTTTACCAAATCACCTCATTCTTTGGGGCAACACGTGAGGAACACAAATGCGAACAAGCCTGAATGGTCCCCAGGACATATGCAACTGAAAACTCACACCCCAGAAGTGACTCGAACCCATACTCCCAGAAGCAACGCATCTGGTATGTACAAGACGCCTTAATCCACTTGACCATCACGACCGGACATAATGAGGTGATAGCCGAGGCTATTTGAACCACCCCACCGCCGGCACTCGGATAGTTATCTTGGGCATAGCATTTTACCAAATCACCTCATTCTTTGGGGCAACACGTGAGGAACACAAATGCGAACAAGCCTGAATGGTCCCCAGGACATATGCAACTGAAAACTCACACCCCAGAAGTGACTCGAACCCATACTCCCAGAAGCAACGCATCTGGTATGTACAAGACGCCTTAATCCACTTGACCATCACGACCGGACATAATGAGGTGATAGCCGAGGCTATTTGAACCACCCCACCGCCGGCACTCGGATAGTTATCTTGGGCATAGCATTTTACCAAATCACCTCATTCTTTGGGGCAACACGTGAGGAACACAAATGCGAACAAGCCTGAATGGTCCCCAGGACATATGCAACTGAAAACTCACACCCCAGAAGTGACTCGAACCCATACTCCCAGAAGCAACGCATCTGGTATGTACAAGACGCCTTAATCCACTTGACCATCACGACCGGACATAATGAGGTGATAGCCGAGGCTATTTGAACCACCCCACCGCCCATCGGCTATCACCTCATTATGTCCGGTCGTGATGGTCAAGTGGATTAAGGCGTCTTGTACATACCAGATGCGTTGCTTCTGGGAGTATGGGTTCGAGTCACTTCTGGGGTGTGAGTTTTCAGTTGCATATGTCCTGGGGACCATTCAGGCTTGTTCGCATTTGTGTTCCTCACGTGTTGCCCCAAAGAATGAGGTGATTTGGTAAAATGCTATGCCCAAGATAACTATCCGAGTGCCGGCGGTGGGGTGGTTCAAATAGCCTCGGCTATCACCTCATTATGTCCGGTCGTGATGGTCAAGTGGATTAAGGCGTCTTGTACATACCAGATGCGTTGCTTCTGGGAGTATGGGTTCGAGTCACTTCTGGGGTGTGAGTTTTCAGTTGCATATGTCCTGGGGACCATTCAGGCTTGTTCGCATTTGTGTTCCTCACGTGTTGCCCCAAAGAATGAGGTGATTTGGTAAAATGCTATGCCCAAGATAACTATCCGAGTGCCGGCGGTGGGGTGGTTCAAATAGCCTCGGCTATCACCTCATTATGTCCGGTCGTGATGGTCAAGTGGATTAAGGCGTCTTGTACATACCAGATGCGTTGCTTCTGGGAGTATGGGTTCGAGTCACTTCTGGGGTGTGAGTTTTCAGTTGCATATGTCCTGGGGACCATTCAGGCTTGTTCGCATTTGTGTTCCTCACGTGTTGCCCCAAAGAATGAGGTGATTTGGTAAAATGCTATGCCCAAGATAACTATCCGAGTGCCGGCGGTGGGGTGGTTCAAATAGCCTCGGCTATCACCTCATTATGTCCGGTCGTGATGGTCAAGTGGATTAAGGCGTCTTGTACATACCAGATGCGTTGCTTCTGGGAGTATGGGTTCGAGTCACTTCTGGGGTGTGAGTTTTCAGTTGCATATGTCCTGGGGACCATTCAGGCTTGTTCGCATATATATATATATATATATATATATATATATATATATATATATATATATATATATATATATATATATATATATTATATATATATATATATATATATCTCTCTCTCTCTCTTTCTTTCTTTGCCAATAGGCATTTTGCAGTTTTCTTTATTCCTATCAATTCCTATTGTATACTTCAACTTTCTCACCTTTCACCTCATATTTGTACCTTATACATTGACTTTCTCTATTCTTTCTTTACATTACTTAATAATGGTTCAGGTCAGACTGAAACATCGTCATGGCCTTTATTTTCAGAGTTGTGGGTTGGCTGCCTAAATTTTAGCGATGTTATTGCGACATTATCTGCATTTTCACCACTTTATGCCTCCATCAATGCACAATGAAATATTACAATAACATAATGTATCTGTTAGAAAATATAGAGGCTATACAGTGAGATATAACTCTCATCCCTGGACTTCCCAGACACATACTCAAGTATAATTACAGTATCAGAAAGTAACTTACCGTTTCCTTGTGGGGCAGCAAGTCTTTTCTTATCCTGAAGAAATTTTTCCCATACTGTCGTAATCCCTTCATGAAACGTTTCTGTGGATATTGAAACAAACTTCAAAGAAATCAATCGAGTCACCATTCTAAAATATTTTAACACAGAAAGCATATGTATGTTTTAATCCCCGAAAAGCATACATTAAAATCAAAAGAGCTTGGTCAAATGCATGATAAAAGTCATTCAAGCCCCAAAAAGAGTTCTTAAAAAAATAAAAATAAATTAACACCTAATTCTTTAAATGGCCACCAAGTGGGCAGCCTTTCCTTGATCAGTGCTTTTCAAACTGCTTGATACCTGCTTGATGGGGTTCTGGGAGTTCTTCTGCTCCCCAAGTCCGGCCCGAGGCCAGGCTTGACTTGTGACTTGAACTCTCAATCCTATTTTTGTGCTTCGTCAAAAACTGTCTGTTATGTGATATAAAACAAGGTAACAGATCAGTTACTATAATTTAACGTTTAGACTCATTAGTCAAGATGTACCGTATTATTTGAAGGAAACTCTTTATCCTTAATCAAATATACATTAAAAAGATTCAAAATTTAATCTGTTTAGTGTGACTGGTGGGTTGGTCCGTTTCTAGTTATTTGGTCACAATTGGTTCACACAATGATAGTGCTACATGCTAGTCCCCTGTACTCATATGTTGGATTCTCTCTTTGGTGGAGTGGAAATTCCAACCTCACATATATAACTTGTCATAAAAGCAACCAATAACAAAACCCTCAATTAATTTTGTAGTTAAGTTCCTCCTGAGTCCATTATGTGCCTTTGTAAACTTTTCTGCTACCACCCACAAGGTGAGTATGGGGTGAATAACGAATGACCTAAACTACATTAACTTATGTTGACCAGACCACACACTAGAAAGTGAAGGGACAACGACGTTTCGGTCCGTCCTGGACCATTCTCAAGTCGATTGTGTCCCAATCGACTTGAGAATGGTCCATTATGGACCGAAATATCGTTGTCCCTTCACTTTCTAGTGTGTGGTCTGGTCAACATACTTCAGCCACGTTATTGGAACTCATTGCTTACACTGGTTGATACCTGGTTGATGGGGTTCTGGGAGTTCTTCTACTCCCCAAGCCCGGCCCGAGGCCAGGCTTGACTTGTGAGAGTTTGGTCCACCAGGCTGTTGCTTGGAGCGGCCCGCAGGCCCACATACCCACCACAGCCCGGTTGGTCCGGCACTCCTTGGAGGAATAAATCTAGTTTCCTCTTGAAAATGTCCACGGTTGTTCCGGCAATATTTCTTATGCTTGCTGGGAGGACGTTGAACAACCGCGGACCTCTGATGTTTATACAGTGTTCTCTGATTGTGCCTATGGCACCCTTGTGGGGTGGGGTGTTTAATAATTAAACACTAATTTAATTATTAGGAGTAGATGTTCATTTGAAACCTATTCAAAAAGATGATAAATGTTGATGATTTGTGCCTGATTCTTAATTTGACTGTCACATGTGGGATGGAGCAGCTCTTTTTTGTTCAGGTGTTAACACTTTTGCGTGCCCGACGGGTGACTCGCCGCGCACCGCAAGGTAGGCCGAGAGTTGGCCGTGAGTGCACAAACCACACTCAAATGTTTATACTGTTTTCAGCTTTCTCACCTCAATTTCCGTGATACATCATTCATGTTGGTATCAAATTGTTTGCAGTACATGGTGCGCATTTTAAAACCCGTCACATAATATGCAGACAATAAATGGGATATTTACAAATTTATTAATTGATGACGGTGTTACAGTCATCAGGGCCTCTGTGTAAATCATTTTGGTCTTGAGACTTCGAGATCGTCATCAGAATGACAAAGTGTTAAGTAACTTGGGTTCAACCCTATGATAGATTTCTGCATCTCAAAAACAAATGTATCTTTCATTCAGTGCTTTTCCTTCAGTATGTCAAACTTTTCTTCAGGAATATAATTATTAAAATTGGCAGACAAATCACAGAGATGTAATTCTATATCAGTTTTGTATTATATCTATATCAAACTTCCAATTGACAAATACTTGTATCCCTGGTGTATTTTGCAAGTACAGTGTATGTATTATATCATTTTTTTGTTTAACTTGTGACCCACTGAAAGGCATCCTGTGATAAACAGTTATGTCTGTTTATCACATGATGCCTTTACTGTACAACACATGATAAACATCATGTGTTGTACAGTTATGTCCTAAAGCATAACTGTACAACAAGATTCCAAAATATTAGTACTTCAAATCCATAACATAATGGATAACGTACCAAACAATGGCCCATCTGTAAGGTAACAAATAAACTACCAGTTTCCAAAACTGGCACCCGAGTGCAACATCACCTTCCAACAATACATCATTCAACATAACCAATCATACCAAGACTCACCATTGTTTCCTTTGCAAAACTATGTGATCAAACAATCTGAAAAATTACTGGTCATGGTGGGCTACTGATCATAGGCTGAAGAGCTCAGAAATGTATATAAGTAAAATATTAATAAAAAATACAAGAGATATACTCACTCTTTCTTCTTCAGACCACTTTTTTTCAATCCCATCAGGAACAGGGCACTTGACAAGGGCTTGGAGAGCTTTGCCATGGTCATAGTCACTATTGTGGAGCTGTAGTAGAGAACAAAAGAATCAATGGATTAAAAAAAAAAAAGTTCCCATTACTTAAAATTAAAATTTCATAACTGTGCACAAACCAATTAAGAAAAACCAGCATTGAATGCAATGACACACCATTTTTTGGGCGAGTCCAGGAGGCTCCCTGGAACTATCCAGGCTGATAGGGATAGTCCTAACTTTTGGCGTCAGTCGATGTGAGTGGAGTTCTAGGCCTACCGGGAACGACGGCCAGAACCTGACCCCCTCAGAGAGGCACGAGGAGCAATGGCCTATAGAAATGCACTTGTGATTTGGGAGCATTCTATATTGCCATCGACCGGGACAGGCACCCAGAAAGGTAAGCGCCTCAAAACAAACCCCTATTCTGGTAAAACCAACGAAAATAACAAAACAAATGGACAGAACTCCCCCAAGGAAAAGCAAGCAATCATGACATTACACGAGCTGCGCCGCATATCTGCGCAGCTCCCCCCCTCCCCGGGAGGGGGAAGGGGGAAGCCCCACTCCCTTGCGCTAGCAATCCACGCCTCCATTTCCGAGGCTGGATATCAAAACACTCGAAAAACGCCGACCGGAGGGAGGGAGGGAGGGAGGGAGGGAGGGTTGCCGGGTAGCCTCCGGGACTCGCCCAGAAAATGGTGTTTCATTATATTCAACTCTGGTTTTCTGGGAAAACCCCCTACAGCTCCATGGAGCTACTTCACCAAAGACGAAGATAAAAAGGGGACTTACCCAGGAGGCGGTCGGTGCCCCACACCTAAACTCGAAGTCGAGACAGGTTGCAGCTGCCGACCCAAAGCGACACAGGCCCGACTAGGCCCAGGAACGTTCACGAGGTAGCGTGCAGCCAGGACCGTGTTTGACCGCCAAAAATCCCATGCCCGCATGTCAGCCCAGGACATGTTCCCAAAAACAGCAGCAAGAACAGCGAACTTACGAACATCATTGGCACGGGGATAGACCGCAGGCTGGCTAGACTTGATAACCCTGTGGACAACCTGAGAGACCCGTACCCGTGAACAGGAAAGAAGGAAAACTGGATCGACCCAAAGCACGTCCCCGGACACAGAAGCCGCGGCGCGCTTCGTTATTTGCCAAAGTCTGTGTATACCACATCTGCATTCTGTTTTTCTTCTAATGCCTCAGTGACTTTGTAGTAGTGGTCAAGTAGCAGTGAGGGGCATGATCTTCCTGCTCTAAATCCATGTTGGCTTAAGTTGTGAACGTCATTGGTCTCCATGAAACTGGTGACCTGACTCCTAATCACACTCTCAAATACTTTTATTATGTTGGACATTAGTGCAACTGGTCTATACAGTAATTCTTTGCCAATGCTTTGCTCCCTCCCTTGTATAGAGGGGCTTTGTCTGCTACTTTAACTCTTAAGCTAAGGGGTCCTGAGGAGATTTACATCCCTGTGCGCAAGAAAAAAAATTCTAAAAAATTATTTCGTCTTCTAAAAATGTTGATTTGTGTTCCCCGAGCACGGGAAAAATAAAAAAAAATCGTAGGTGACATATTTTGGGCCCAATAGGTCAGGGAAGTCTGGAAAAATGTGGGCGTTGACAGAGCAGTCGTCAGAGCCGGTCAGCGTCACCCGAGGTGACAGATGGGTGTTGCCACAAAGATATTATTACCTAATTATTTCAATGTCTCTGATTGATTTTTTCTTAGTTTTTTGCAGTAATATTATTCAACAGTGTGTATTGATATATTTATATAATAAACGGGGTGAATCATCGCTATACTCAAAAGTATGGTGTGCATATTAGTGATTAATTATGTTCATAAAACATAATAATTGAATCACGAACTAAAACTTCTCCCCCCCAACAATACCGATTGTGCTGTTATTACACTATATACAGACGTTTTATATATAAGTACCTATATGTTTTGTTCACCACAACTGTACAACTAAGCCGATATAGTTAGTTTAGGCACTAAGAGTCGTCGCTACACACAGTCAGCTGGCGGCTGCCTCCCTCCCTCATTCAAGGTCACACGCACTAAAATTTCTCCCCCAACATACTTTTGCAGTGTTATTACACTATATACATACATTATATATAATTATTTACATGTTGTATGCACCATAACTGTACACTTAAGCTTGTAGGGTGCCCAAAGAGCTTAGTGGCCACCCTCTACACAGCTAGAATGTCATGTCTTTGACGCATCAAGTCATGCAGACGACGCCACCTCCGTCACCCAAATGGCTCCTCCCAACATAATCCTTTTGCTGTTATTACACTAATACACACATTATATATATAAGTATCTACATTTGTGTTCACCATAGAGAACCACTGAGCTGGTATGGTGAATGCAGACAATAAAGGTGGCCACACAGTCAGTAAACGATGCTCCCTCCGTCCCTCAGCATTACTCCTCCCACAGCGCTAATTATCACAACAATCCTGCTATTATTACAATCCTGGTCATTTTTATCACAGTCGGGTCATCTGTAATACTGATATCGCTAAATAATAGTAGTTATATATTTATTTTGACATTTTTTGGCGATGCTGTAGTCACAAGCTGTGTTCACTCATGCTGCATGCGCCAGCCTTGGTTGATCCAACAGTACTGTGGCTCTCACACTGGAGAATATTGACACGATTTTTTTTAAACATGGCGTCTGTTTACAAGAGCCCTGAGGAAGCTAATGTGAACCCCGTGTAGCCGCGGGTCATTTGAATTGTGCCTGGCACCCTATGGCGTAATTATATGCCATGCGCACCGTGGGACATGTTACTCATGGCGTATATACACGCCATGCACAGTTTATGGGTTAAGCGCATCTGATATCTTCCCCGTGTCCAAGCTCTTCCTCACACTATACTGAGTGCCTGTGCTATTGGCACCTTGCATTTCTTTATAAATATTGAATTCCATGAATCTGAATCTGGAGCCGAGTGCAAGGACATGTCTCCAATTTCTCTTTCAAAATCTGCCACTGTGTTGATATCAGTTATATTTACAGAGGTTTGGATATCGTGCATAAAAAAAGTTGCCCGGATCTTTCACTCATGCTGTTTATTGGAGTGCTAAATATGTCCTCATACTGCTTTTTTTTAGGATTTCACCAATTTCTTTGTCGTCCTCCATGTATGAACCTTCACTCGTACAAATTGGTCCAATACTGGGAACAGTTTTTCTTTTGATTTTGCATATGTGAAGAAATATTTTGGGGTTTTCTTCACTTCTTGAATTGCTTTCTGTTCTAGTTGCCTTTCTTTTATCTGATAGGGAAAGTCGTGTCTGCTTAATTACCGTTATTTTTTCCTTCTTTTATAGTGTCGTCTGCGTTCTCTTTCTACGTTGGACCTCTTTCTAGCTTTCCTCAAAGTATCATGTTTCAGACTTGATATGCTTCCAAAGTCAGTTTTTCTAGTCCTTCTGTAGGAATTTTCTTACTTTAAACAGTTTCCCAAGGAATGTTTGTAAGTTCCCTGTATATTTTCTCCCAGTCTATCCTTTTATTATTAAAATTGAATTTACTGAATAACTCCTCGTGCTTGATCATTGTTTTTGGTCTATTCTGAGTAATGATGATAGTTTGCACTTCAATGAGCTTGTGATCTGAGTATGTGGTATCTGAGATCATAATGTCCCTGATTATGTCTTCATTGTTTGTAAAGACCAGATCTAGAATATTTTCGTTTCTCATTGGTTCTGATATCTACTGGGTGAGTGAAAATTTGTCACAGAATCTAAGCAATCTAAGCAGTTCTCTAATTTGTGGTTGGTTATGTCCCAATAGATTTCCTAGTATAATATTATATGAGAGTTACCAAATAATATATACATGGAAGATACTGGAAGGCCAGGTAACAAATTTACACAGTAAAATAACAAACTGGAGAAAAATACAAGGAAGGAAATGCAGAATAGAACCAGTGAGAAGTATTGGTGCCATAGGCACAATCAGAGAACACTGTATAAACATCAGAGGTCCATGGCTGTTCAACTCTTTCCCAGCAAGGAAAGGTGGACCCCCTTCAAAAAGAAATTAGATAAGTTCCTGCAAGAAGTGCTGGACCATCCAGGTTATAGTGGATATGTGAGCCTGCTGGCCACTCCAAGCAATAGACTGTTGGACCAAGGTATCACAAGTTGAGTCTGGCCCTTGGCTGGGCTTGTGGAGTAGAATTCCTGGAACCTTCTCCAGGTAAACTTCAGCTAAACATCATCAAAAATGTTGTATTTTTCAAGCATCAGCCAAAACATTATACACCTACCATTTCAAGTGCGTTGATGGTTGTATCATCTCGGGATGCAGCATTACAGCCATCTGTAGTGGAGCCACCATCACAAAGACCAGCAAATGCAGCCATAGAGCGAGCAGCACGTAGGTACATGAGGAGGTCGGTGTCCCTCGAAGCACCAGGAACCCACCGCTGCTCCTCCCAATCTGCACAGGCCTCTGGCCTCTCTTCTACTATAACATTGCCCCTTCAACAATTAAAAACATACAATTATAAAATTAGTAAATACTAACAACTTATCTCCTGTAAAGCACAGGTTAGCAACTTGCATAATAAAATAAACTATCCTTTCTGTGTATCCTTAAGTTTTTATGGATAAATTTTTTTATCATTACATGCACATGTAATAACCAACTGGCCCACGTCCCTCATGGAAGAACTGCTGAGGAAATAATTATGCATCTTCTATATCACAGATCATGTAATTTTTTTAATTGGAAACTGGAGAGAAATATTTTTCCTACCAGGAAAAATTATTCTAATGTATATTACATTTTCAGAGGCATACCTATACATCTGCACATCAGACCATCATAAAATATACAGTAGAAGCAAAATTAATTTATTATAGTCTGTACATAATGCTTGCTTACATCATTAAATTTAAACAATAAAAAAAATAACCAAGGCATAATTATACAAAGGTATGCATACCATAAATTTATGGAACTTACAAATTTTTAGAACTAAACAGACTTCAAACTTTCTACATTGAATTTACCACTGTCCTTGGGACCCACACGCATGCATACTATATATTCAGAAATTATTTTTCACCAAGTCATTAACTACTAAGTTCCAAAATGCTCTCTCTCCACTGCCACTTTTCATGGAGTGCCTTACTTTCCCATAAATGTAATTCATTACCTATATTCAGGAAGCTTGGCCTGATGTGATGGACCTACTCGTATTTCTCCCTGTGTTGAGGCTAATCTCCGTGTCTCAGGATTATATCTGAAACATAAATGCTGTTTTAGTAGTTAAGTATCACAGCTACTTCAAATTCAGTATAATTTGGTCAAACACGTGTATAATTAACACAATGTGTGTAGAGACTCCCAGGAGGCCAGGCCAGTGACCAGGCTATTAGAGAAGGTGAAATACCCTGGAACCATCACAAGGTAGGTAGGCAGGTTGCAATCAGCAAGTGGAGACTGTGGTATGGAGCCCAAGAGCTAAATCTCACCCCCAACAAGTAACTAGAAAAATAGTTAATAGCCACATCATTTATTATTACAAATCCACATGCAGTTAATATATTTTCATGCACCTATTCCCTCATTTTCTCCTTCGACTCTCCCACAACCCATTCCTCACTGCCTACAGTAATCTTTCCTCCAACTATTCCCTCACCTCTCCCTAATCTTCCTTCCACTCATTCCCACCTATTCCTGATCTTTCAACACCCATTTCTCCCCCTTGCTCCCTGATCTTACCTTCACCCATTCCCAAAGTCTCTTCCTGGGCTTCCATCTACAAATTCCCACACACTACCTAATCTTCTCTCTACCTTTTCCCCTTCTCTCCTTCCATTTATTCCCATTATCACCACTCAAAAATAAGCTTTCAAAAAATCTTAAAAATCAGGAGTCCATCTTTGATAATTAGTATACAAAAAATCAATATAAGGAAAACAATTTCTTATTATAAACTCAGAATAAGTAGCACAGAAAATGATAAATTTACATATACATAGTTAATAATCAAACAAGTTCCATGTTAAATTAAATTACAGTATATCTCTTAAAAAATAATCATACTGAACGCACACACATCCATGCCAATCCAACCCCCCATCCCGACACATCCCCCACCATGAAGGAGACAACTACACTTAGGTAATTATACACACCAACACAAACACACACAGTACACACATGCACTTATGCACAAACATATACACACAAAATTAATATTAAAGAATAGTACTGTACTGGGTGTAATGAAATAACCCTGTCTTTGCAGAACCCTCAGTAGTTCCCCAGAGTGATAGGTACTAAATTATTAGAGCTGCTATTAACATTTGTGCATTGGATCACTATAGAAGGTCTACCGAACCCACAAGACCAGAATCTGGAGTTCTCGGTGGCAAGAAAAGCATAGGATTTGACAACATTCTAACACCAAGGTCAAACACTAAGTTATAACTTAACCTTAAAACATATAATACCCACTACAACCCACAAGCAAAACAAATAGAAAACATGTTAATAGGTGGCAGCCAAGGTCACAAAAGTTTGCCGGCTTGTTACACATTTAAACACCACGAATCCAAAATCCCAACCACATAGGAAAGAATGAAACAAAAGGGCAGGAACAGGAAGCCACCAAGGAATTGCAACGTAGGTGGCACTTAATCACATTCACAACCTGACATGCAAAATTAAGAGTACCTATAGTTATTATAGATGGAAGTACAGAATACCAATGGTTACACCCAAAAATAAAGTCCCCGTCTAGTACTATTCATTTTATAGAGGGCTTCAGAAATCAACAACTAAACCAAAATTTTCCTAGGCCTAGTATGGTACATATATGTATTAAATTAGAACTAAGGTTATATTAGGTTATAAGGTTATTATAAGACTATATTAACTAAGGTATATTAGGCCTAAGATTGTTTATTTACATCCAAGACAAGCTAGGTTAGGTTTACAGTTATTTCCTTTCATATTTGTTATCTCCCTTAGAATCCAATAGTACAAAACAAGAACCCTTTGTTTATTGGGGATGGGGGGAGGGTACAACAGTCCATATTTTGTCTTCCCTGACCTCTCACCTCAGTGCCTCAACAGAAGTAAATGATTTTACGAAAAAGAACGCATTATAAATAACAGAAAATATGCAGGGCTTATCCAAGGTAACAGATATAATAGCACAAGGAAAAGAGGAACATCAGCATTTAGTTAACCGCCCAAGTACAAAACAAGCACAGTTCAAACGCAGAACATTTAAAAGGTAATGAGTGGCTGAGATCCAGTTGTATCTCCAAAATTCCTGACCCAGTTTAGTAGCTATAGATATATTATCCCAATGTTTTGCAAAAAGCCATATCCTTCTCTACATCAAGGGTATGGGAATACACATCAGGCATATTAAGGTGGACAATCCTTCAAATGACCTAGACGAGAAGTCTTAGAATAAGGGACCAAGGAAATAAGATTGACAAGAGAGGTTATGTTAATGCCAAATGATGCACAGTGATAGTATAGTATTGGGTACCAGCCTGCACATCAGAAAGAACAGGGAGTGTTAAATATTTTAAAGTCATGTTATAACTTTGTGGTTCACTTTGATGTAGTAAGTTTTGAGTCCCTACGCTTCTCTCACCTATGTGAGAACCCCAGATTCTGGTCCTGCGGCTTTGGCAGGCCATTAAAAGTCATTTAATGCAGGATCGTTGAAATCAGCCCCTTATGAATCAGTGCCTATAGCTCGAGGAACCCACTGAAGGTTCCAATACTGAAATAATAATTTACTTACCCAAGAATATAAAAGAAGGCATTATCTT